TAGGGACACGAGGTTTGGTGTGAGTGTGAGGAATACCACAAAACCCATTTTCCCGATCTTTACATCAATTCTTCATAACCATATAAATTTATTTTATATTTTGTTATTTTTCTTTTCTTGCATGGATGGTTGCTGAAATGTTAACTCTTTTAATTTTTTTTTTAAAAACGGTTACGTCATTAATAGCTCATATACCAAATGATATCCAGATCGTATATCTTAGGTCATTAATAGCTCATATACCAAATGTCATTTATTCCCAGGTGACTATATATAGTATATAGTTATAAAATGACCAAAACAAAATGTTTTTATGTTGGTTACACTTATGACTTAACCATCAAACAAAACACAACAGAAGGTGGAATTAATTTAGTTTATAAATGATTTTGTACCTAGCTAATGCATGTTGAAGATTCTTTAAACATTTTAAAACAATGGAATTAAGAGAATGAAACATGTTTGTTAAGTTGATTGAATATGGTTCGAGAATAATTGCAATCATGATTCTTTCTAGTCTAAAACTACGCAGGCATGCGAAAAACAAATTAACAAAAACAACCCAAAGAAACGATTAGATTATTGTTGAATGAGTACTTTTTATTTTGGTTAAACAAGATTTGTCATTTGTGTTGTTTTTTTTTTTTTGGTTTAGATTGCCTATGTATTTTAGACTACAAAGAATTAACCCTGGTTAGAATTATACTTGAACCAAATTCCATAAACTAATCAAACGTAAACTGGATTTAGTTCCACTGTTTGATTTTTTTTAAGAATCTCAATTTCGAGTTTCAAACAAATCTTCAACTTGCATTCCTTGAGTAAATATCATTTGTATACAAATTAAATGCCTATATAGAAAAACTTATTGACTTTATGGGAATGGAAAGCGGAGTATGCATCATTCTCTCCCTTGTAGAGATTATGAAACACATAAATTGATTGCTATGAAATTAATATTAAATATTTTGATATTGGATAGAGTTGGTGAGATTTGGGTGAAACCCTTTTCTGCCTCTCATCCTCTTCACCAACCATACTCATACCTCTCACCTATCTTATGGTAGGGCTTGTTAACGAGTATAACTACTAGTATTATATAAGTCATGGAAATTATGACATAAAAAGCAAGATATATATATATATATATATATATATATATATATATATATATAAACGAATAATTTCATATAACATGGAAGAAGAAAAGTAGACTTCCATATTATTCAGTGTGTACAATGTTTTTATATAAATTAGCATGTTTAAAATGAAGTGTTTGTTTGAGTAGCTTCCAAACCGGGTGATGTTCACCTTTGATCACATGAATTTGTTTTCTTCTTATTTACATTCTTGTGGAAATTGATGAAGTAAAGCTGCAAGAGTATGTATCTATTGTACTATGTTCATCTAGACCAATTAATGAGAGTGTTTTTGTTTATTTACCTGCATTGCATCCGGTAGGGGATTCTTGTTTCTCTTAACCGAGATATCTAAATCCGGTTTGATACGGTTTTCTCTCATTCCCATTTTCTTCTTCCTCTTCAAGCTTTTTCTTCTTCATTCTAGAGTCCAAATGTCAGAATTGCGATGATATTCCAACGGATAGTTTGTGGATCGGACAACCCAAAAAGGTGTCGATGTGTTTTTGGTCGGATACACGTGGATAATAAGATATATAGGCTTTTTAAACAAATTTGGCCCAACATTTGAAGCCCTATATTGTTTTTCGGCCAACTTTCCACTAACCTAATTGATATTGTCCATGCATTGATTCATGAGAAATATCACACATGAGCACACCAAATACAGTACGTAGCACATGATAAAAGCTTATATTTTGAATTGTTACACAAAAATCAAGAAATTTACGTTGGCCTAAAAGTTAAAAAAAAAAATTCAAAATCATTCAACCAATTATAAAATTAACTGTAAAAATTTATTAGTTGAATAATTCTAATAAAATTAATTTTAACATCTTAAATCATCTTATATTTTGAAACAAAACTTTTTAAAACATCATATAATTTAAAACAGAAGAAGTGTTAAATAGCTAAGCAGGGAGTCCATGAACATAACTATACTTCACACATAATACATGCCAGTATAAGTTCATAACAATTACCACACACATTACATCCCTAGCTAGCTATCACGTTAAATTTTCAGGTTGGATTTTCAATAAATCTCATATAATATTATTGAATAATTTTGAAATAAGGTTTAAGTTTCTGATTTGAACACTCGATATGTACCCATGGCTGATTAAAATATGTATGTTACACTGATTTAGACCACAAAATATATAGTTATTTACTACAAACTTTTGAAATAATTTGACTTGTATTTGTATCGTGAGCTACAGACAGTTTAGTAAATGTTTATATAATTTTTTTTTTTTTATAAATTTAGGAAACTCCTAAAATTTCATATGCTAATGTTTCACCAGCTTACAGCTTATGTTCCGGTGCTTCCATATAAGCAAGATTGGATGACCCGTAATAATTGACTTTTATGAATTGTCCTAAACTTTTGGTCAAAAAAATAATAATATGAATTGTCCTAAACTTACGTACGAATATCTTCACTCTGAGATTAATTTGGTTTCTAGTGAACAGCAAAATCAAAACTGCGATATAATTAAAAGTTATATATATAGTTGTGCCATATTTATTTATACAGCAAGCTCAAAAAAATGACATATGCAAATCAAAACTGCGATATAATTAACAGTTATATATAGGTGTGCCATATTTATTTATACAGCAAGCTCAAAAAATGACATATGAACTAACACATGTAAGCAAATGATTGATTAGGACAAGTATTTCATATTCTTAAACACAATACTATTTTATTATCATAATAGTATAATAATAATGCACTGTTTAATTATATTGGTTTGATACCGCCGTGAGGAGATCTCTTCTTTGAATCTTTTTTTTTTTCTGTAGTCATTTTATGTCATTATAATTTATTAGAAGATAAAAGGTTGTATAGTTCTGTAGACTAAGTTTATAAGAGCATTTCCAACGGGAATACTTAAAAAAAAAAATTAAATAATCAGTAAACTTCACAAAAAGTTAAGGATTTCATTCTTAAAATTCATAAATAAAAACCGTTTCTTATCAAATCCTTATACTATTTGCGGATCACCAAGATACGTGATAACCTGTGAATAATCATTTTTTTTAAATATAAAATATCATTTGAAATACTATTTTTCTTAAGGATTCCAGCGGATAATATCATTAGAGATGCTCTGAGTTATCGTCAACATATTTATTCTCTTTATTCTTCTCACCACATGCCCTAATAATAGCAGCGATGTTTCAAACATAATACATCAACGAGAGAAATAGATAATTTGAAAGAAACTTCCCGATCATCTGGATCATGCATGATGACTTGCTCACGAATCGTTCGTCTAAAAGTGGATATGGCTAACTTCACCAATCCCTATAAAGCAGAATCTCGGTTTTCGATGATCCCCCCTTTGCGTACTTTAGTTTTACTGCAGTGATCATCGAATCATATTTCAATAAATATTTAGTTTGAGTTATTTCAACATAAAGCTAATAATAATGTAAATGTATATGTATGACAATCAATTACAAATATACATCCTTTTTCATCACACCCTCTTGATATTTTGAAGTACTTTTAGAACTTTATGACACTGCCAAGTATTGGTCTAAAGTGGATCGCAAGACTTTAGTTTAACGTTAGCAATTTCTACATAACTTAAACTATACATGAATCTTAGGTTACGAATATTTGATACAAGTATATTTTCAACCTGTTGTGTATATACTTTCGTTCTGATTCTAGAATTTTCATCCACCAACTTTTTTTTTTTATCTTTCTGAAAATTTTATTTGACTTTTTTCGCCCACCAACTTTTAATTATTCTTGGATAAACTCATTACGTTTTGTTGTTTAGTAGGAAAGTATTATAAATTCCTTGGGGTTATATATATATTTTCATAAACGAGTTTCTATATCAAATATATTGTGCAACAACAAATATATATTTCTATATTGTCGATACTCGTTGGAATACGACGTTTTGTATGTATTTGACCGTTAAGAACGCCCCCGTTGGCTGTTTGATAATTTCTTCCTTTGACATGTCATAGTCCATATTTTTCACAATATTGTAATGACCAATAATTTGAAATTTCTTTATTCTTAATCAGTCATCCCTATGAGTAGATTGGTCTCATTTTGAATCTATAATTAAATCCATAAGACAACTTGTCTATTCGATGACATTATGATATGACAACTTAATTTTTGGAGTTTTTGAGTTGCTGTTTAAACCATAAAACTTGTTCCGGGTCATGCAGTCTTTTACCTAAAACAGAAATATTTATTTCCGGTAATATTATTTGCAGCATGCTAGGTAGAATACACTAATCTGTTAGATATAAATGAGCAGAGAAAACACTTGTGTCTAATCCCTTTTTTAACTTTTGTTTTGTTGTTGATTAAGACATAAACCCCATATAAGGAAGATTAATATGTCATTGATGCGATTATTTCAACAAAAACGCGTATATGTATTATACTAATTAGGCAATTTTTACCAAACATGATTTAAAAGAAAAAGGAATCTTGTGATCCAAGCAACATATAAACGCAACTCAAAAGATGGGTTTGGCCAAAGTCCCTTTCTCGTTCTCCCACACGTCTCCCTTATCTCTCTATCTCGACCAAGAGAGAAGAAAACCTCAAGACTTGAGTATCTCTATTCAATACCAGAAACCTCTCTCTCTCTCTCCCTACCAAATAATAGTATATGCTAACGTCTTTGTCTTTAAGATATAGAAACTCTGTTTTCAAAGGAAAACTTTACAAGAACACCCAGAGTACGCCTCTACTACTTGATCCCTCTCTCTCTTTCTCTCCCCTCTAGCTAGATAGAGATTCTGTTTACTGAGGAAAAGGTTCTCTCTTTCCCTCTATATGTTTTTCATCTATGTGACTTGATCAACAAGTAAATGATGAGACAGAATCTGAAAAAAGTTGAACACATCAAAGCAGACGAGTCTATGAAGATGTTTCCTTATGCCTTTGGTTTGAATCATTCTTCTGGGAGCAGCGTAAAGAGATCAAAGCCTAAGCTTATCTACCTTCTTCTCTTCACTCTTATCTCAAGCTGTTTTGTCTTTGCTCCTTACCTCTTTTATTTCCCTTACCCCTCTGCTCTGTTTCTTATAGGTATGATTCTTCTATCTTGTATTCCAAGTAACTCACTTCTGTCCCTCTCTTTTTTTTGTTGTTGTTAAACTAAACTATGTTTTTGCAGATTCTTCAATAAAAGAGATTGAAGACCAGGTTTCACAGAACATTACAGAACCTCCCAAACCGTCTAAAAATGGTAAGTACTTAACCCTATGTTTCTTACCATTCTTGATACTTCAAGCAAAGAGGTTCTCAGTGTTGTTTTTACTGTGTTGTTAACCTAAACCTCTTTCACTTCATATGTCTTTGCAGATTCTTCAATAAAAGAGATTGAAGACCAGGTTTCACAGAACATTACAGAACCTCCCAAACCTTCTAAAAATGGTTAGTACTTAATCTTTTATTCCTTACCATTCTTGATGCTTCAGGGGTTCTCAGTGTTTTTTCACTGTGGTGATTATGCAGAAGAGAGTATATTATGTGACAGAACCGGTTACCGTTCAGACATATGTTTCATGAAAGGAGACATCAGAACACACTCTCCTTCTTCCTCAATCTTCCTCTACACCTCCAACGATGATCATGTCTCCCAAGAAACAATCAAACCATACACAAGAAAGTGGGAAACTAGTATTATGGAAACCGTTGGTGAGCTGAAACTTGTGAAGCTTTCAGGCGATAAGCATAGCTGCCAAGTGATCCACGAAGTACCCGCCGTGATATTCTCTACCGGAGGATACACCGGAAACCTCTACCATGAGTTCAACGACGGTCTTATACCTCTGTACATAACATCTAAACGTTACAACAAAAAAGTTGTCTTTGTGATTGCTGAGTATCACAAATGGTGGGAGATGAAGTATGGAGATGTTATCTCTCAGCTCTCTGACTATCCTCTCATTGATTTCACCAAAGACAAGAGAACTCACTGCTTCAAAGAAGCAATCGTTGGTCTTAAGATCCATGGTGAGTTAACAGTGGATCCATCTCAGATGCAAGACGATAGAACAACCATCACTGAGTTCAAGAACATACTTGATCAAGCTTATAGACCAAGAATCAACTTATTAGACGCCAAAGAGGAGCGTAGGCTCAAAGGAAAAGCAGCAAAGAGAAGAAAAGCAAACAAGCCTAAACTAGCTTTGTTCTCAAGAACCGGGTCTCGAGCCATAACAAACGAAGACCAAATGGTGAAACTAGCTCAGAGGATAGGGTTCCAAGTCGAGGTTCTGAGACCTGACAGAACAACAGAGCTAGCAAAGATCTACAGAGTTCTAAACTCAAGCACTGTCATGGTTGGAGTGCATGGAGCAGCAATGACTCATTTCTTGTTCATGAAGCCTGGAGCTGTCTTTATTCAGATCATTCCATTAGGGACAGATTGGGCAGCAGAGACATATTATGGAGAACCGGCTAAGAAGCTTGGTCTAGACTACATTGGTTACAAGATTCTTCCAAGAGAGAGCTCATTGTATGATCAATATGATAAAAATGATCCAATTCTAAAAGATCCAAGCAGCATCACTCAGAAAGGATGGCAATTCACAAAGGGGATATACTTAACCAACCAGCAAGTGAGGTTAGATCTCAGGAGATTCAAGAAGATTCTGGTTGATGCTTATGCAAAATCAAATAGATGACCTGCAATGTGTTTTTTACAAGTTGTTGTTCTTGTTGTAACTGTATAGTCTGCACAAAATACAGTAAATGAAAAGTTATTTGTAAAGATTTAAAATGAGACCGTGACATTAATGAATTCAATGTTTCGGAGACATGAAATAGCAAAACTGCTAAGTATGTTACAGCCAGAGAGCCATCTCAAGTTGAGTTCTTATTTACTGTGAAGAAAAAAATAATGAAGAAGATTCAGAAACTGAAAAGTGAGAGAGGCTGAAAAGAAGACTTTGCTTCGAGCCAAAGCAAGAGAACGTGTTATTCCTTCAATAGTGTTTACGCCCTCTTCTTCACTATCTTTGATGATGAACGCATAGGTGGAGGTGTCTTTGCATTTCTTGCACCACTTTCACCTATGAAGGCCAACAAAAAAAAGCTTTAGATATTGATTTTGTTTCTGATAAAAAGCGTAAGTAAAGAGACTAACCATTCTCAAGTGGATTTCCTCCTATTGAGGATCGACGTGATCTTTCTGGTCCTGATGGGATTACACCTGTGAGTGATTGCCTTCGCAGTGTTTTAGCGTTGCTTGTGTGTGGCGACTTCACACCACTGAAATTATTTGAGACACCAAGCGGTGACCGTGGATTTGCAGGAATGTTCTCCTTCCTGTGGTAACAAAAAGGTTAATGCTTAATATCATCATGCAGACTAAAATAAACATAAAGTCATTTTCATACCTCTTCTCAGAGCCATTGATCAGCTTTCCAATTGTTCTCAGTGACTTCCGTATGTGTGAACTTTTTCCATTTGTTCTAGAATCCACAGAAATAAACTGTATCTCGTTTCTAGGATCTTCTTTAACAGGTGTCTGCAATAGCTGGAGTTGAGGAATGCTTGTTCTGCCATCTACTTTCACTGCTCTGGTTCGATAAGAGCTTACAGGACTCAGTGGATTCTTGAGCTGCGTCACTTCCATGGTGGGATCTCCTTTACTATTCTCTTCGTTTTTACAGGACTTTGGAACCTCCAAACTCGATCTTAATGCACGACGAGAGGCCAAAGGTGATTTAATGCCTTTTCTGTCTTCAAGGTTTGTCTTCGTGTTGCTACTACAGTTTTCGATGCTTAATCTTCTGAGACGTGGAGGAGTTTTCTCTGTTGTAGCAATCGGCCTGCTTAAAGGAGATTTTATCTCTTTTGCTCCACTGTTCCATTCTCCAGAACCCAAAGCCTTTTTCAGGCTTTCAATCTGAATACCAAAAATGTTTGTTGACTCATATAATAATCTATACACAAACTGGAAATGAATTTTTGTTACTGTCTACAAACCTGCTCTTTGAGATGCATAACCTCTCTAGTTTCTTTGTGTGCACGAGCAACGCCAAGTTCGACTGTGGAAACTCTTTGCGCGAATTTCAGAGTACTGATTGTTTCACCAAAAGAGTCTTCTTCAGGACTCAAATGAGCGAACATCAATGTTTTGGCTTGACCTCCTGAAATAAAGACATCACCAGACAGCCACTGAATATCGTTTGTTCACTAAATAGAGAATAAAGGATTCATATTAGTTAGTTAGTACCTAATGCGTCTTGGAGTAGAAGAGTGAGCTTGCTGTTTCGGTATGGGATGTGAGAATTCTTCTGAGCCAATGCATAAATCACATCTCCGAGACAAGAAAGAGATTTGTTGATATACTGTGCCTCCTTGAGTCTGTCTCCTGTGACCTCTGATTTATCTACTCTCTCGCTCCCTGCAAGATCCACCAGATGCAAGCAACTCCGGATGGTACCTCCAGATGTGTCTTTCCCACGTACGTGCACCATAAAAATACTACAAAAAAAGACAACGAGTTTAGATAATATAATTCTGAGTGTGTGTGGTTTAAGTCACGGAAGGGAACCTGTGAGACCGACTACTTCGGTTATTCATGGACGTGGAACTAACAGCCCTGTTCACCTCACCAGCCTCCATCAGCCGAAGGACATCCATGGTAGAATTCACAGAATGCATAGTAGCATCAGGGAGACTTAAGCCATCGTCCTCGCTTGAGCAAGTTCGGATATCTAATGTGGATATATAGTCAAGAATAACAACACTAGGTCGATCGTTAGATAGATAACAAACCAGGAAATTAAAGTTTAAGCATGAAAGGATATTTGGTGCATGAGGAATTCTCAGCAAGAAGGTCTCGGACTTGTTCATTGTAGATTTCGACCATTTGGACGTATATCTGATACGTCATCATGTCCTTTCTTTTATCACATATCAGAAAGAGATCATTGAGAGCTAGATAGTTTATTCCCATTTCAGTTGCTGATCTCCCCGGAGGACCACTCTGCATCAGGAAAATTTTATAAATAACTATAAATGTAGAAAAAGAAATGAGATGTTCTAATTTGTATTCTCACCATTGTGTATGTCTTGCCTGATCCAGTTTGTCCGTAAGCAAATATGCAGACATTGTAACCATCCATCACTGATCTGATTAATGGCTGTGTTTCTCTGAATACATCATCTGTACACATGGGTGCAAAGGAAGTGTGAGACTTGACACATGCTTATATAACCTCTGAGTAAATTGCAAAGTTACCTTGAGTGGCTGTTGGAGCAAACACTTGATTAAACTGAAAAGTTTTTCTTGCATCTTTTTGAGGCTTTGATGGATCCAGAACAAACAAAGAGCCATCTTTTCCTATGTAATCTATTACACCTTTCATTTCACTATTGAAGATCGGTCTAACTCTGCAGAACACTCTTATATTTCCTGCAGGATATTAGACATGGCGTTATGACATTTTCGAAAATAGCAAAACTTGTTTAACTAATTTCTACCTTTAAGATCTTGCACCATGTTATATAACTTTCTGTTCTCTTCCACCACTTTGTAATATCCTTGAGCTGCTGATGACATCTCTTGCATCTGATTCCCTGTGCATAAGAAGCATATCCCAGAATGTTGGAGTTAATACCAGAAAATGAAAGAAAACACAAATACCGACAGTTTTCTCCAGAGGAGATAAAATGGAGATTTCAGAAAAAAAAACTAACCTAGTTCCATCAGATCTCTTTGCAGATGAACCTGAAATTCCTTAAAATCCTGCTTCGTTTGTATGAACAAAGTCTTGAGAACCTGAACAATATAAGCAACCTGAATTAGAACATATGTTACAGACAAATAAGAAACTAAATTTAAGAGAGTTTTCCAAACGGTGTTGACTCCAAAAAAAATTATAGGACACTTCGCTAAATTCATACTTACCGCAAGCTCATTTTCTTGTGTTTTCAGTAAACGCTTATGGTTGTATTTTGTCGTGAGAAGAGGGCTTTTGTGGGACTGAGAAAAACATATCCAGCAATTTATTAGTGTAAACTTAGATATGAAACACTAAGAAAGAGCAGTTGAAACCAGTGCGAGATAGAAGCAATCACTTGTGAATACATAACCAGAGCATCAATCAAAAGATATTCTTATTGTTCTTGCTACTATCATAAAAGAGGAAAGAAAAAACATACCTTATCTTCTTCATTGACAGGTAACTCCTCCAGAAGCATAGGTTTTACGTCTGATGGTTTCGGGGTGCCTTCGTTAAGATAATTCTTGAAGATTGATTGAAGCTGTTCATAATATGGAACAAGTGTCAGGGTAATTTATCAAAGCGGTATTGAAGTATGACACTTGCCATATCAGAGCAGATCATCAAAAGGCTCTAGATTTTCCATGTTCTAAACTAATATCCAACTTAAAAGCTTTCAGTAACAAGTCTGATTTTAATGAAAAAAGCAACAATTGAGTAGCTCCATTTATAGTATTTAACATGAACACTCACCTCTGGGAATCTTGAGATGATTTTCTGGAAATTTACTTTAGAGTTCTGCAATACAAAGAAGTCAAGCAATTGAACCAAGTTAGTCTGAGTGTTACAGTATTAAGAACTGAAAAAATGCATAGTAAGTGAGGCAGAACATTTCAACTTACCTCGCTGCCATTCTCAAGTGAAATAAGATTCTCATCTATATTTTCCTTGGAGTTAAAAATGTGATCCGAAACCAACTTGGCTATAACTGCAAACATCCAAATCCGTGTAAGAGAGTACTCAAAAAATTACACATTCAAGATAAATCAAGATACTAATAGTTTCTATCATGATGTGGCCGAAAAGGAACATGTTACAGGCTCTAGACCTGTCTATACATACCTTTGAGTTGATCAGATTCACCATCTGCACACTCGTTTCTATCCAAAATCCTAGACGTTTTGGAACCACTAAGTGGATGATGAACCTTAGTTGCAGAGAGCTGAAACGTTGGCGTTTTGACATGCTTGTAGAACCCATTATTACCACTGCTAGTCATCTTGCACTCATGATACGCCTTGAGTCCCAAGATACAGTCCACAACTTTGCTCACTGATCCAGACTCCAGATTATCCTGTTTTCATTTAATCCACATGTTCAGTTAATGCAAATCACATAATGTTCAGGAAAAATATCTCCAAAAGTGTTACCTTTTCGAGATCAGAAGCTTCGAATCCAGGAAGCCTCAACTGTTCCAACGCCACAAGAAAGTTGCGAACATTCTCAAAATACTGATACGCTTGAGGAAGTTGGTACTCTCTGTTAAACGACTGCAAATGCGAGTAGCTCTCCACAACCTTATGTTTTTTAAAAACAAAAAACAAATCCCCCAAAATTAATTTTAACCAATAGACTGAAGAATAAAAAAATGATTATTAAATTACCTTGGAGACGGCTCCTGGGTGAATCTTGTTGATGGCATTGCAAAGAATCATACCGTTTCTCAAGCAAGAAATAAACTCTTTCTCCGATGGCTGATTCGAGATACCGATTTCTCCCACTACTGATTGAAGCCATTGCACCGCTTGAAATCGCCTCGAAGCTGCAAGAAAAAAGAAAAAAGAAAAAAGAGCAAATCAATCACACGCGAATCAAAAAAAAATAAAAAAATTGTAACGAACCTGCTTCTTCGGCTCTTCGTGAGGCCAAATGAAACTCATGCAACCCAGTAGTCATTAGAATCAAATCTTCCTAGCAAAGGGAAACTAATAAATTGATTCGGAGATCAAAAAATCAAATCCTCTTTGTTTACAAGGAAACGAATCGGAAGTTACCAATTGATTTGAGTTAGATTCTTTCCTTCTTGGGGTACAGATCAAAACCCTAGAAAAATTGAAGGAAAGTGATCGGAAAAAAACGAGATTGCAGATAAAAATAAGACAGTCTTTTCTTCTGCTTTGTTTCTTTCGTTTTCTTGGTGTTTGTGTGTATTCGGATATTAAGGACTTCGGATCTACAAAAGAAAAGATTGTAACGTTAACTCTGTTTGAATTCAAATATAACTGATGAAAATAATCCTGTCCGTTCGATGTGGCAATGTATCAACGGCCGTTTCATGCTAATACAGATTGTGCCGTTTAAACTCTAATTATATGGGCCTTACTATTATTTGTGGGCCTTGTGACCCAAAAGCATAAAAATTAACAACATGTTAAAGCGCGGATTAGCTAATCCTAAATTACTATTTTACAACAACAATAGTATTGCATTAACTACGTTTACCAGAAACAACACTTAAGCATAAGGGTGGGCCGGAAACCCAAAACGAACCAAACCAAACCGACCCAACCGAACTTAAGCCAATCCAAACCGAATAAAAATATATATCTAAATCATTTGATTCAAGATTTTATCAACCCGAATGGTCGGTTTGGTTCGGTTAAAATCGAACCAAATCGAAAAATCGAAGTGTTTTTTTAATTAGATTAAATAAATATAGTAATAATATTAGAGTTAATATATTTAACCATTTAACCTAAAATAACTAATAATTTTATATATTTTTCTTCTAAATGAATAGTATAAACACAACTAAATAATATAAATTTATACAATTACATCAAAATCGAATATTTATATAATTTTATATTAAGTTTGAAAATAATAATATTAAATTATTGGATTATATTTTTACATATTTATTGTGATATTGAATTTTACGTTCAAATATGCAGAAAATAATGATTTTACGTTCAACAATTTTACATATTTAGTTTTAATTTTTTGTGCTGTTTTATTTTATTTTATTTACCTTTTCTCTATAAACATTTTGTTTCTTCTCTTCATAACTAAATTTTTATTTAAGTTTGTAACAATTTTATTAAAAATTAAAACTAAAAAATTAATTACTGATTTTTTCTTGTTTATTTGAGATCCATAGTGTACAATTTTCTAATCATATATGTTTAATTCTTCACTAAAATATAACTTAATGTATTAAATAAAGTATTTAAAGTATTATTCAAAACTTCTATATTTGTTAATATTTTTATAAATTATATTTTTATAATTGAACTAAAATAAAATTAAAAAACCAACTCGATTGAATTGAAAAATACAAACAAAACCATATTAAACTTAATAAAACACAAACCAAACTGAACTAAAATCGAACTGAACACAAACCAAACCAAACTAAAATCGAATCAAATCGAACATAAACTAAACCAAACTAATATGGGATAATTTTAGGTAATTTTTTTTAAATCCAAACAACCCAAATCAAATGGAACCCAAACCGAACTCGTAATAAAACCGAAATACTCCTAAGCTTAAGCACTTTTGTTTGTCCGAGAATATAATAAACGCTTTCCTTTATTACATCTACGCTTTCTTCTTTCTCTCATCCCCATGCTCTCTGATTCAAGAAGCTAATTTCTCTCCTCTCCTATCAAAACTCTCCCACCAACATTTCGATCTCATCTCATCTCATCAACCAAAAAGATGAACAACAAGAAGAAGAAACCAGATCAAAAACCAGAAATGTCGTCATCGTCTTCATCATCATCTTCCCCAAAGAAACAAACCCTCTTCATATCATCCCTTATCCTCCTCTGGTACACATCCAACATAGGCGTCCTCCTCCTCAACAAGTTCCTCCTCTCAAACTACGGTTTCAAATTCCCAATCTTCCTCACCATGTGTCACATGTCAGCCTGCGCCATCCTCAGCTACGTCTCCATCGTTTTCCTCAAGCTTGTCCCTCTCCAACACCTCAAATCTCGCTCTCAGTTCATGAAGGTCGCGACTCTCAGCATTGTGTTCTGTGCCTCTGTTGTTGGTGGGAATGTTTCTCTGCGTTATCTTCCTGTTTCGTTTAATCAAGCTGTTGGTGCTACGACGCCGTTTTTTACAGCGCTTTTTGCGTATCTTATGACGTTTAAGAGAGAAGCTTGGGTTACGTATGGTGCTCTTGTCCCCGTGGTGACCGGTGTCGTGATCGCAAGTGGGGTAAAACGTGTTCTGTCTCTGGAGATTTAGATTTTTGATTCGTTGTTTAGGTTAATGTATTATAAAGATGATTGCTTGTATTCCACGTTTGTGTCTGATACACAACAAGATTTGCTTTGTTTCTTGATCTTTTACATGAAAATGATTACGTTTAGTATATATTTTTAGAAAATGTCGTCCAAATTTTTTTTAGAAAATATGTGTTCTGTACTGTCTCTGTAGATTTAAATGTCTGATCTCTTGTTTAGGTTAATACATTAAAGATGATTGCTTGTGTTCCACGTTTGTGTCTGATACACAAGAAGATTTGCTTTGTTTTATCATCTTTTACATGAAAATGATTACGTTTAGTATATGTTAAGCTTTGTGGCTGTCTTATTATATAAAGTTTCATCTTTTTTTTTTACTTGGCTGCGTTGTTGTTATTCGAGTCCTGTGTTATCTAAAGCTTTTCAGTTTCTTCTTGTAACTATTGCCATTTTCGTATAATCAACGTTGTAATTAATGTTTCTCTTGCAAAGTCTTTGTTGTCTAAGGATGTTCGTTCTTTTCATGTTGTTTCTTGTTGACTTTGTGTCACAGGGTGAGCCAGGTTTTCACTGGTTTGGATTCATTATGTGCATCAGTGCTACTGCTGCAAGAGCTTTTAAATCTGTTCTTCAAGGCATCTTACTTTCTTCCGAGGGGTAAACTTTAATAAGATAATAGTTAATGAGTTTCAGAGTTTTAACATGTCTTTAATTTTCTTGCAGAGAAAAGTTGAATTCAATGAATTTGATGTTGTACATGTCCCCTATAGCCGTTATTGCGCTTCTACCAGTCACAATAGTAATGGAGCCAGATGTGATGAGTGTGACACTGTCTCTAGCAAGACAACATCAGTACATGTGGATACTTCTCCTGGTTAACTCTGTTATGGCTTATTCAGCCAACTTGTTGAACTTTCTTGTTACTAAGCACACAAGCGCACTTACTCTCCAGGTAACAAACATGAAAAAACGTTTCAACCAATTTACAAAGAGGTGCTCATGGTCAATTTTTTTTTCAGGTTCTTGGAAACGCTAAAGGAGCGGTTGCGGTTGTAATCTCGATCTTAATTTTCCGAAATCCGGTTACAGTGATGGGAATTGGAGGGTATAGTATAACGGTGCTTGGGGTTGTTGCTTATGGAGAGACTAAACGCAGGTTTAGATGAGCTCACAGACTCTTTTATCTCTGTGTTAACTTACTTTTTCATGGCTCTTAGGAACTGATGAATCTGACATTATATATACTTCTTATCTCATGCTCATTTTTTGTATGTAACCTATATATATATACATCTCGCATTGTGTTAGATTCTATGATCTTTTGTTCGTTTTTGGTAATGAGGAAATTGACCATAGTTGTGTTTGAAGACACTCTCTTGTCACTATTTGTTCTCCAAATAGTATATCAACTTTATACAAATTCCAGATACAAACCAATACTGCTCTCTTGTCACTAAGTGGATTTTACACAAATCATAATCATGAAAAATAAACTGTTATTTTTTCAAAAAAAAAAAAAAAATGTTAGCAAGATATCAATTATACCTTCTCTATTTCAAAAAGATGAAGTTTTATAATTTTCACACATTTAAGAAAATATATAAAATTTTGATTACTAATTAACTATTTTCTACAACTTTTATCTAATAGAATTTAAATAAACATAATTCTATTTTTTTTGAATATTATGCATTGAAAAAGTAAAATATGTATCTTTTGAAACATTTTTTTTTTCTAAAATAGGGAATATAACTTTTTAGAGTATTTTCAATCAGATTAATGTTGAGCTGTATATTCAACAATTTGGGCCGAGGCCGGCTCTAGGTGGCTCTGACTAAACCGGCCCATAAACTTTTTTTTGTTTGGTTTGAAGCAGAAGAAAACATCTTCTCCTGTCTCCATCACTTCTACCATGGCTCTTCTTCAGAGACCACCCTCTTATCTTCACCTCTATTTTCGTCTAATGGCTTCTCGCCCTCGTCTCTTCTCTCACTCTCTTTGCCCTTCACTTCACCGTCACTCCTCCTCTCTCTCCTCTTCAACACCCAGGTTTTAGCTCCTATCCTCTTTTCCTCATCCGTCTTGGTTTCCAGTGAAACTAGGCCAGTAAATGAATAGGAACATAACAGTTTGCTTCCTGTGCTAAGTAAAAATCATAACTTTATGCGATTCCTTAAAGTTTCCAAGCAATTGAAATTGAGAACTGATGTTATATATTCTTTTAAGTGAAGTCAATTTCTTTCTTCAGCTTTGGATACTTTCAGAGCTTTTGTTTTCCAGTGTTAAGTTTAGCTCTGTCTGCTCAGAAAGTCTTATTCTTTATGTAATAGACTGTCTTGGTTATAATTGATTTAGTCGGCTATATGTATGTGATTTCTCTTCCATGGTGTAAAGCAAAAACTTGGTTGTGTGATAGATTTGATTCTGCGTTGGTTTCAGGATAAAGTTCCAGTTAGCCAAGGTTTTGAGTCAAAGACTTGTACTAAGAAATGCGGTCTCGCCAAGGTCCTTTATGTCATCCACCATGGACACTGATGCTCTCCATGAGAGCTCCACCTCTAAGAATTACAGTTCCGAGCACATTCAAGTAATTCCCATTCTGATGATTTGTTCAGATGACCAACTGCTTTTATTTTTGGATATCCAATCATAGGAACCATGTTTAATGCTATAGCTGTTGAAATTCCTACTAGTTTCACTTTATGTTTATATCAATATCTGTATGGTGCTCTAGGTGTTGGAAGGATTAGACCCTGTCAGGAAAAGACCTGGAATGTATATTGGTAGCACTGGATCTCGTGGTTTGCATCATCTGGTAATGCCATTTTTCTTTTTTTGAACTCTCTTGTTCCTCACTGGCTCCTTTTAACTTCTTTATAATTTCAACCTCTCTAATACTTACTGTTTTTTTTAAGGTTTATGAGATACTTGACAACGCAATTGACGAGGCACAAGCTGGTTTTGCTTCAAAGATTGACGTTGTTTTACATGCAGATGGTTCAGTCAGCATTGCAGATAATGGACGTGGGGTATGTAATTTGTTACACTTACTCATTCTCCCGGCTTTTTGCATTTAGTTTTCTTTAATCCCAGAATTCATATAGGGATTGCGAGCTAATGTCAAAATACTTTTCTTGCAGATACCTACGGACTTGCATCCCGCAACGAGAAAATCTGCTCTGGAGACCGTCCTCACGGTATTGCTACTTGAATTTTTTTTTTCTTATCTCTGCCTTATATGACTTTAGATCGCTTTAAGGATCTACTGTTAATTACTAACGGTTTATTTTTATTCTCATGAGCTAGCTCAGTCTTCATTTACAAGGACATGAAATTTTTAGTTGTTTATTAGTAATGTACTATCTGATACGTTTTGCTATGGATTGCTAGCTCCTTTTAGGAAGATGATTCTAGTTTTGCTATGTTTTGTTTAGTGATCAGTCTCTTAATGTAAAATCACATGTATTTATGGTTTGTCATCCTGATTTTTGGTCATGCTATTAATCAGTCTTGTTGATTATTTATGCAGGTCTTACACGCAGGGGGTAAGTTTGGTGGCAAGAGTAGTGGGTACAGCGTGTCTGGTGGATTGCATGGTGTAGGTTTATCGGTTGTGAATGCTTTGTCAGAGGTTTGTTCTAACTGTTGTAGTACATTGTTTCCTGTTTATCCTCTGCTAAGTGCTAAGTTGAGACTTCCCTCTGTGCCTATTGTATGTGGTTTAAAAATATTTATGTGATAGTTAGATCTTATAGGAAGGCTATACTAGGTTATCCCAATTCTCTGATTTTTTTTGTGATAGGTGATCCCTTTTCCGAACCTCATATCATATGAAATATTTCTTGGAATGGCTCCTTAGTGAGTAATATATGCAAGTGTTATATATGGCAAGGCATCAAGAGCCTATTAGGATAATAATCATACAACTAATGAAAGAGCTCTTGCTGTTCATAGGAATTGGAGGTTATTGTTCGCAGAGATGGGATGGAGTTTCAGCATAAGTATTCTCGTGGAAAGCCGATAACAACACTTACATGTCATGTCCTCCCACCAGAGTCAAGGGAGACTCAAGGGACATGCATCAGGTTTTGGCCTGACAAAGAAGGTTTTGCCTTTTTCCGTCCTAACCCATTTTACCCTTCCTAAGATAGGATTTGATGACTAACCTATCGTTTCTGCCACATCTGATTTGTTCAGTATTCACAACTGCAATTCAGTTTGACCATAACACTATTGCTGGACGAATTAGGGAGCTTGCTTTTCTAAATCCAAAGGTGTACATTTATCACTTGATAATCTCTTTAATTTAAAACGTCAATATTTAAATTGTTTGCTCCATGTTCATGGACATTGGCGGCCTGGCCGTTTGAATTAGTTCTCATATACTGTTCTTATTCCATAATTAACTGGTTGTATATAAATAAATGCAGGTTACAATCTCTCTGAAAAAGGAGGATGAGGATCCAGAAAGAAACCTGTATAGTGAATATTTTTATGCTGGAGGATTAATTGAATATGTCAGCTGGCTAAATACTGATAAGGTGAGTCTTGCACTCTAGATCCTTTGTTATATAAAGTGTCTCAAATATATACCTACCACTGATGCTAGAATTTGAATTCGGCGAATTACTTTATAGTGGAAAGGGTTTTGTGAAACAAAATCCAGTGGTGATGGTTCCAATACTTTTATTTTCCAGCTAACTTGATGGTAAGATATGTTGACCACATTTCCCCCGTTAGTTCATTATTCTTTAGGGCTGTCTTAACATATGAGTATAAACTTGTGTCAACTCAATCTCTGTTAAGTTAGTTAGCTCTTATGCATTTAGGTCTCATAGGTCATCCTTATTACTATCTGTCATCCTGGAAATATTAAGTTTCAGCTCTTTTGTTCAGAAACCGCTTCATGATGTGCTGGGTTTCCGGAAAGAGATCAATGGCACCACCGTTGACGTTGCACTTCAGTGGTATACTTCTCTTCTTTCTGTTTACGTCTTCTAATATTTTACCTCTGCTTATATGATGAATAGATATAATCTGGTTGCGTTTACCTCAGAACCACATACTTGAACATTTAGGCTGACTGGTTTTATGGTTTACTCTGTAAACTGGACATTCAGTTGCTGTACTTTATATGCTGCAGTTATTATCGTATGTGATGGTATCTAACTGTATAGCCTCGTTATTGTACCAGGTGCTCAGATGCCTATTCAGACACGATGCTGGGATACGCTAATAGTATTCGCACTATTGATGGTGGGACACATATTGAAGGTGTGAAGGCTTCGTTAACGAGAACTCTAAATAGCCTCGCGAAAAAGTTAAAGGTTATCAAGGTGTGACATCAGTAACCAACGCTATTTTTCCATTTTTTATGTCCAGTCTTAGAGGTTTAGAGCGCATTTCCCCCCTTCTCTTTCCTTCATTTTTTTCTCACAAAAACTACAATTATGGTTAGTTGGTCATTATTAAGATTGAAAAGTCTTCTGAGATAGAATTATTATCCTTTACATTGACTGAGGCTGAACTTCAATACTAGTATATCTGCAGTAGTTAATAGGCTCTGCTACAATAAGTTCTCACTTCTGCATGCTCTACTCACAATGAACAATGTACTAATCCATGATTATACTGACAGACATGCCATCAGTTATAGAGGTTACTTTTGCATTCATTTAGGCATATATCTTGACCAGTTTTACCATGTATATCTGAATTGTTTACTAAGGTGTAATTTATTGTCGTTTGTTTATGTTCTCAGGAGAAGGATATTAGTTTAAGTGGGGAACATGTTAGAGAGGGATTGACCTGCATTGTCTCAGTCAAGGTTCCTGATCCTGAGTTTGAAGGTCAAACAAAGGTACTCAAGAGCATAATAATGATTTATTGACCTCTTTTTAGCAATGATCTCTGGTCAGCAAACTATAACCATTTTTTGTATTCTACTACTGCTCGTATTAATTTTTTTTTTTTGCTGACTAACCTCTCAAAGACGAGACTAGGAAATCCAGAGGTGAGGAAAATTGTTGACCAATCACTCCAGGAGTACCTCACGGAATACTTGGAATTGCATCCGGATGTGCTTGAAAGCATTATTTCCAAATCCTTGAATGCTTACAAGGTATGACATTCATATACCTGCTCAGATTTCTGATATCTGTGATTAAGTATGTGTACCTTACTGCTCCTCCGCCTAGTTAATAATTTCAGCGAAATGTCCCCAATGACTCTTAATCTCTATAGGCTGCTCTTGCTGCCAAGAGGGCAAGGGAGTTGGTCAGATCAAAAAGCATTTTGAAGTCATCCTCACTTCCTGGGAAACTGTCAGATTGCTCATCTACAGATCCTGCAGAATCTGGTACGCATTAGCCAGTATGGAAGTGCCCTTTTGTATGAAATCAGAACATTAGTATATATGACTATAAAAGCTTTTAAATTGTCAAATCATTTGGTCTTCTAAGACTCAAGTGAGAAGATAAGAAAGGAAACATGAGGCTGTTGTTATATGCTGGTCATAGCTTTTAACACTTGTGAGCTATCAACACTGCTCAGTCATTGACTTCTTTTTCTGTGCTACCAGAGATTTTTATAGTCGAAGGAGATTCAGCTGGTGGCAGCGCAAAACAGGGTCGTGACAGGCGTTTCCAGGTAAGAAATCATTCTGCTCATTGTGTCAATAGACAAGAATCAGTGAGGGGGTAGGAAATGATAGTTAATTATCTCTCCCAATGTCTAAGACTCTAAGTTGAGCCATTGTAGCCTCTAGTGGTAAAAACATGCAAAGTTTAATGCTAAAAGTCCTCTCTTTACTCTAAAAAAAACATGGACTGGGTCTCTGAGTAGTATCAACATTCTTTGATATCAATAAGATGAGAGTAAGATTACAAACCAAACTATTGATGAATTAAGCTCTTTGGGAATTTGGATGTGTTATAGACAAAGTTGGAGAATCATTCACAGGTCAAAATAGTGCCATATGGCATTTGCTTTATCCTTTCTGCTTCTGTTTGTAACAAAGTGTTTTGGATTTGTGCAGGCGATTCTTCCTTTAAGAGGTAAAATTTTGAATATCGAGAGAAAGGATGAAGCAGCAATGTATAAGAACGAAGAAATCCAAAATCTAATTCTAGGTCTTGGTCTTGGAGTGAAGGTGATATATCCTCTTTCATATCCTATTTGTTCTTTTCTTTTAGGTAATCTTGGCAAACTCAACGTGACATATAGTCTATTTTCCAGGGAGAAGATTTCAACATGGAGAATTTGCGTTACCATAAAATCATCATATTAACAGATGCAGATGTTGATGGTGCCCATATCCGAACACTCCTGTTGACCTTTTTCTTCAGATACCAGGTATTGTGTTTAGCTGAATAAAACATTCATTTTAATGATTACTGGTGAAACTTAATGAAAATTACTTTTCAATAGAGAGCCTTGTTTGATGCGGGTTGCATATACGTTGGTGTTCCACCTCTTTTCAAGGTAAGTTCTAAGCAGTTACTGTTATGATGCTTCAGATTTACGGAAAGTTTTTTTTTCCTAAACTAGTTCTCTCTTTGAAAACAACTAGGTTGAGAGAGGGAAACAGGCTCACTATTGCTATGACGAGGCAGCTCTTAAACAAGTTACCGCTTCGTTCCCTGGAAATGCATCCTACAACATTCAGAGGTTCAAAGGTAATGCGTGGTCTTGTGGCTTTTTCACATCATGAATCTTTTGTAATGCACTTACATAAACATGCCTTGTGGCCAATGTAAAATAACTATGACAAGTTCATCTATAGCAGTTGATCTGCACAATAGTATTGTTCTGTAACATCCTTTTTCTGCAGGTTTGGGTGAGATGATGCCTGAGCAGTTATGGGAGACAACAATGAATCCAGATACAAGGATACTGAAGCAACTAGTTGTTGATGACGCAGCAGAAACAAATATGGTCTTCTCATCTCTCATGGGTGCTAGGGTAAGGCCATCATTTCATATAAGGGATAAGGCTCCATTGTGTTCTGCAAAACTCATATGTGCTCTGCATCTGTTTCAGGTCGATGTCCGGAAAGAACTCATCAAAAGCGCTGCGACAAGAATCAATCTGGAGCATCTTGACATATAATAACAACACATGCTATTACCTCAGCTAGAGATAGCTTTGATTTAGGAGACAACATCATACTGTTTTTGCCATTGAACCATATAATAATGCGTTTATTGATTCCAAAACATCATTTTTCTTAAATTAATTTACATACTGTCTTAATTTTAAAAGTTAAAAAATAGAAGCCATTGAATTATCTAAAATAAATAAAAAATCTTAAAAGTTTCTTCTAAAATTAAATACTCTCCAGCTGTTTAGATAAAATCAAAATTAAAGTCAAATGAAACTCTTGGTAATGTAATTACTTTCATAATTATAACTTTGTACACTTCGTAGTCACACATAAATCACTTGTTTAACTTTTAACTTCATACAAGGAAAGCTCCACTAATCAAATCCTCTCATATTTAAGAACCAGAATCTCTTTTGATTACTCCAAACTACTCAAAAATCATATATCTCAATGGTTGGGAAGAAGTTGAAACTAAGAATTAGAAGGAAGATGGGAAGGTTAACATATATTCTTCTTCCTTTGATTTATTTATTTTTTGTGATTACTTGTGTTGATTTGAGGTTTATGTGTTCATTGATGTGTTTACTAGTTGCCTTCGTGAACAATGTTTTTCTTATTACACTAAAAGCGACTTTTAAAAAGACTTGTCGGGTCAAAGCAATGTCACGAGGGGAAGATGAGTCCCATCCCATACACAAACACAAGACTCCAAACTTACCCACGTTTTTTTTTTCCAATACAACCAATCACATCGCTTGCATCTTTGTTGATTATTCTTCCATCTTTCAGAATCTACAAAGAAAAAAAAAGCAAACTTTTTGTGTGAAATCCACAGAACTCTTCTCCAAACTCCTAAAGGTTTATTCTTTTGTCATCTTCATCTTTACCTCTTTATGCTCTTCAGTTTCTGGGTTTCATGTGCTTGCCTTTCTCGTCAAATATTAAGATCTGAAGTTTCATATCATTGTAATGATCGCAACAGTACTAGTCAAAGTTGGATACTTTTTAGGTTTTAAGGCACATGAGTCCTATTGGTTGGAAGAATTAACCGAAAAGATTCGATTTTTAATATTAGTTTTCAACTTAGTTTGATTGTGTTTCAGAATCATGCCTGAGAAGAACATCGTAGAGGACGCCATCGGCGATTTGGTGGATAACTTTACAGATGCAGTTCAGAAGAATAAACACGCTTCTTTCTTCGAACAACAAGATACTGTTGCTTCTCGTTTCAACCGTTTGTTTGGTCGGGAGAAACCTATTCATCACGTCTTAGGCGGTGGCAGATGTAAGAATTCAAAATATAAGATTGGTCTGTGTGTTGTTGTTCTAATTGAGTTGATTCTTCAGCTGCTGATGTGTTGTTGTGGAGGAACAAGAAGATCTCTGCAAGTTTTCTGGTGGGAGCTACTGCAATTTGGGTGCTTTTCGAGTGGATCAACTTCCATTTCTTGTCTCTCGTTTGTTACGGTCTCTTGCTTGGTATGATTGCGCAATTCGTTTGGTGTAATGCCTCAGGTTTCCTAAACCGGTAAATTCTTAAACCAGTTCGTGTTGTTTATATATCATTTTTACTTTGTGATTGCAATCTAATAAGAAAGTTTGTTAATGTCTAAAAAAAACAGCTCACAGTCTAGAGTGCCTCGCCTTGTTCTTCCAAAAGATTTCTTTGCTGATGTCGGTGTGACCATTGGCACAGAGATTAACCGCGGTTTGTTGTTTCTTCAGGACTTGTCTTGTAGAGGGAACTTGAAACAGTTCCTCATGGTGAGTACTCTTTGCTGCCATTACATTTTCACATTTTGTTGTTGTTTTATACTCCTCCCCTCAATTTCGAAAAGATCCACATTTCAGAAAAAAAGTTTGTTTCAAAAATATGTTTTTTACCTTTTAAATACATGTTTATTGAAGTTCTATTGGTTAAAAGTTATAAAAATAATTATTTACAAAAAACAATGCATTTATAATCAAAATTTAATTTGTTTTTTCAATATGAGTGAAAATTATAAAATGTATATCTTTTTGAAAGTAGTATAACATATTAGTGCATAGATAATGCTCATAAGAGCTTTAATCAATCTGCACTAACATAATTTTCAGGCTGTGTTTGGACTATGGATAGCTGCAATAATAGGGAGCTGTTGCAACTTCTTAACTGTTCTGTACATTGGTGAGTAATAGTTCTTTACTAGTGACTCTTTTAAAAAGATTGAGAGTTGAGTTTAAAAAGGAATGATGCTTTTTTTGTGTGTGTGTGGTGTGAAGGGTTTGTGGGAGCTCACACAATGCCTGTAGTGTATGAGAGATATGAAGACGAAGTGGATGGTTTTGTGGACTCTCTGCTGATGAAGTTTCATAGTCACTACAGGAAGATTGATTCTGGCTTTCTCAGTCGAATCCCAAGTGGAAAGTTCGGGTTCAAGAAGCATGACTGAATCACAACTTCTTATAGTTCTTTCTTAATGTTTTGAGAATACTCATTGTAGATTTGGCTATATGACTAAATCAACTTCTTGACTTTCTTTCATAGTCATGTTAATGTGTTCCTCTTCTCTCTATATTGTTGACCATGAAAAAATATTGACCATCAAAGAAGAGGAGATCCTCCCATATATTAAATGAGAAATCATCAATTAATTATTTTAATTTGATTGATTGGTGATTTTTTGTTTTGATATATTTAGTTGAATTTGAAAAAACTAAATTAAGAATTAACTTACATCAATAACCAAATAAATCATATTTACAACTAATGGTTATCACAAATATGTATTTAAGAATATTATTTCATCAATGCTTGGATTTTCTTATAAATTATTTTGTGTATTTAATAAAATAATTGTTTAAAAAATATATATATGTTTAAACTTTCTCTTGCAGATTTTATAAATAATAATAAAAATACAATTATTGGTTGTAATTTTACTACTCATGTATTAAATAGATAATAATATACTAAATAATATATAATATAATTTAAAGTAAAAACTAAAATTAATTTGAGATAAAACACATTTAGGAATTTTCATTTCTCTTATATATTAGTTGAGAAGTTCTTAATTGACTTTTCACTGATGTGTCGCTCATAAAAAGACCTCTCTAGTTAATTATTTTAATTTGATTAATTGATGAATTTTTATTTTTGATGTATTTAATTGAATTTCAATAAAATTAAATCAATAACTAACTTATATCAATAGCCAAATAAATTATATTTACCAATAATGATTATTACAAATATGTATTTAATGAAATTGTGTCATCAATGTTTGAATTTTGTCATAAATTATTTTGTGCATTTCATAAAATAAATGTTCTAGAAAATAGATATTTTGAAAATTTCTTTTGCATATTTATGGATAATAATAAAAAAAATATAATTAGTGGTTAGTAGTCTTACTACATATATATTAAATAGATAATAATATACAAAATAATATATAGTATAGTTTAAAGTAAAAAAAAAAACTTAATTTTAGAAAAAAAACATATTAAGATTTTCCATTAACAAATCTATAGATTTTTTACTGTAAAAACCGTTAAATTATTTCACACTTTAAATGAATTGTGTAGGAAAAGAGAGATTTTAAAAAGGAAATGGAGAAAAGAAAGAATTGATATTCCACGACGATCAAAGTGAGGTTAGGTTTCTCTTCTCTCTCTCTCTCTAGTCTTTCTCTCCACGATTGATCTCGGATTTTAGGTACTTATATATTCTTAAAGCTTCTGTCTTTTTTGGTTAAGATCGAGTTTGTTCTATGTTTGTGTCTTTATGTTGTGCTTCTCTCGCATGTTCTTTTATAATACTTTTTTGGAGTTCATTTAATTTGATTTGATCCGGTTGTATTTGAAGACAGAATCGATTGAAAGTATTGTGATTGGTTGGGTTGGAGAACAGAGGATTTGATTTTTCTTTTTAGTTTTATTTTTGATCGATAAAGTTTTGATTTTGTGATATTATTTCTGGGGAAAATAGCTTGACTGGTTGCAAGTTTATGTCTTTGTTATGGGTTTATCTTTTGCGGACACATCTTACATAAACTTTGTCTGTTTAGACTGTTGTTGTGTGTGTGTGTTTTTTTTTTGTGGAACAAGGTTTTGTCCAAGTTAGATTGAATAAAAAAAGCTGCATTTGGCCATCATTCATCAGAAATGTCTCCATTGATTGTTGGAGGTTGGGACATAGTTTTAGTATTGAAGTCACCAAAATGATTGTGAAAGTGTGTTATTAGTTTCTCCAGGGTCTTGCTTTGAACCGGAGGAGGTGTGAGAAAGAACCTTAGAATATCATTGAGAATAGTTCAAGATTTATAATCTCTACTGGTCGTTATGGTTTTTGGTGTTTTATCGTTTTAACTCATTTCCCTATGTACAATGTCTAATACTCTGCTTCTTCCCGGCAGGAACAAGCTCTGTTTTACAAAAATATCTCAGCCATGTCAAGTGGAACAGTGAGAAGGGTCTCACGTCAAGATATACAACTGGTAATATAAGACAAAATGAAGGGCGTTGTTTGCTATATGAATTTTAAGTCTTTTATATTGAAGTTATTGTATCCTTGTAGGTTCATGCTGTCGTATAGAATGTCATATAGATCCCATATTCAGAAGGTTTATGTTGTGTGCATAGTTGCTGATTCCCCATAGCAATGATAGTTCTTACTGCTGTTAGCTATTTGTTAGCTCATATACTATGCAAAAAAAACTTATGAAATGGTAGAATTGAGCCATATGTAACACCCTGCGATATCAAAAGCATCATACTTGATGCTAAGCCGTTCAGCTTCGTTGTGTGAGTGAATCTGTGGAAAAACAGTAGTTGAATCTTAATTTCTCTTCCAACTGTTCTGTCCAACGTTGAGTAATAAACTTACTTTTGCCAGTTATTATCCCATCTCAGGTTCAAAACCTTATAGAACGATGCCTTCAGCTTTACATGAATCAGAAAGAAGTTGTGGAAACTTTACTGGAGCAGGCTAAAATCGAGCCTGGGTTCACAGAGCTAGGTAACCACAGATGTTATCCGCTTTTTTCAAATCATATTCGCATCTGATTATGTACAACTTGCTCATTGATGGTTCTACTTTCTGAATTCGTCGCTTTGATTAAATGGTGTAAATGTATATCTTTACCAGTTTAGGACATCCCTAGCCAAAATCATGTGTAGATGGTTCTCTTCATCTTGCTTGAAACTGGATTTTCTGTACAATTTTACTGAGAGAGTTTAACCTAATAGGTCTTAATTTACTTGTCAGAGTCCAGTTAGGAAGTGTTTAGAATGAGAACAATGGATCATGAGTTATGAAATTTAATGTATTTTAATGATCATGATTTACAGTTTGGCAGAAGCTTGAAGAAGAGAACCGTGAATTTTTCAAGGCTTACTATCTTAGGCTCATGGTGAAACACCAGATCATGGAATTCAACAAGCTACTTGAGCAGCAGGTTCGCCATATGCAGCAGATGCATCCAAGTGGGGTTACTTCCGTCCAGAATACAAATGGTTCTCACATCCAATCAAGTAAGATATGTTCTCACATACAAATGGTTTTCATGAGTACTTTAGTGTCTCTTTATTGCTTTTAAGTATGAGCTTCTTTCTTCTCTAGCTATGCAACTAACATTGATTGTCTTCACAGTGAATCAGAAACAGTTGGGCTATGCCTCTGAACACACTGATCATCAATCATTGAAGTCTAATGCTCAGCATCCTATGCCTCCGAGTCTGTCTAATGCCTACCTCAATGGCTCTTCAACACTCAACACAAATGTGTCCCCTTCTGTGAACATATCATCAACCCACGCAAGGAGGGTTGACGCTTCTCCAAACATACTCTCATCACAGACCACAAACATGCCTATGATGCAAGGAATGAACGGAGGAGGAGGGATGATCAAGTCTGAGACTGCCTTCACAAACCCTCCTTCATTCATGTATGGTGGTGAACGAAACGCCCTTGAAGGACATTCCACAGTTAGAGAATCTCCGATCCCATCTTTCAGTAACGAGTCCAACAACCAACCCATTGGTGATACGCTTCTTGATGCAGAAGCTTCTACTTTTGGGTTCTTAGGTCAAATTCCTCGCAACTTCAGCCTCTCTGATTTGACTGCTGATTTTTCTGGCTCAGGTCTTTCTCCATCTCATATACTCCTTTTTGTCTCTCTTTGTTTGTATAATAGGCTTTGTAACCATATGCTTTTGGTGTTGATATCAGAGATTCTGGAGAGCTATGATAAATCACCCTTCCTTGCACCAGATGCTGAAAATTTCCTGGACTCCTGCGACAGGGGAGAATATCAAGGTGAGAACTTCGAGACTCTGTTTAAAAAGAATGAAGAAGAAAGTATCTGTTATAGGAGTATCTTTCTTTTTTCTACAATTCAAAGGATTTGGATAAGATGATAATATGTTTATTGCAGGAGACAACAAGAGGTTGGACACCATATCTGAAGGTTTCAGTTATGACAACATCGGGAGCGAGTAGTTAGGTAACAGGTAAGAACAATGCTTCTTCCATTTGCTTATATAATATAATCAGTTTGGGGGTTTTGAATGTACAGATATGTGATGTCATCTTTTGTTTTGTGAAAAGCTATGCAGGTTTTGGTTTCATCACTTATAACATAGGAGACGGTTGTGTACAAAAAGATTTCAGGCCTTTGATATTTGTTTTTTTGCTTGCAAAGACTATTGGGTGGGGTGTATAAAAAAGGATTTTATTTCCATTAACATTATTACTTTAGCTTTGAAGTTTGGTAGTAGTAATAAGTGTTTGAGAAGATCATATGTAATTCTCAGTGTGTGATTTGTCTCTTTTATATTGGTGTTTTAGTTTTGTTTTATACAATTGTTTATTAGTACCTGAAATCTTGTGGAAGTTAAAATGTATGTCTTATGAAGTTCATCTATAGAATTTTTGCATGTCTTTATCACGTTAAAGAGAGCGGAATGTCAACTAGTACCAACACTGTAATGGTTTGTGTGTTTTAAAGTTGTAATATGAAGGTAGTGGTAGTGAGGTACTGACTCATCACATTCAACAGACATGAGATAATGCTTATGTTAAGGTTTGTGGTAGTGACAAATTCACAAACGCAAACCAAAAGTCAGGAACCGAAAGCTTTTAAAGATAAGACTTTTTAAAAATAATAGGTTTTTAACGGACCAAAAATAAAAGATCTTTGAATATTAGAAATTATAATAATGACTAGGGCAATTCTCTCACACTTTTTTTATCACAAAAATAGATTTCAAAAACTAAAATGAACAGGATAATATTTTTATTTTAAAAATTGTAAGTTTTTTTTATTTTTAAAAATTTTAAATTCTATCTCCAAAATTCCACCCATCAACTCTAAACAAAAAGGTATAAAATTAGATAATCCTTTGGTATAAGTGTATATTTACTTAATTTTGATAAAATATTTAATTCTATTTTGATAATTTTTGTTATTAAGGTGTATATGTATGATAAAAACTTTTTTAATGAGTAATTTTAATTGGCAATTTTCTCAAATAAATATTTTTAAAATTTTTATTAAAAAAATAGATTTCAGTAACTAAAATAATAGATTTTTGAATATTAGAAATTATAATAATAATTATTTAATCTATGGTTTATAATTCATTGCTCCCTCATTATCAATTAATAAAATGCATAAAAGGTTAGAAATCTGTATTTATGGAATTTAGATTTTGTTATAGCCATAACGGGCGGTCCCCACCAAATGACTCAAACCACAAACACACAGACACAAACTCTCTCATCTCTCTCTCTCTGTAAGAAGATAATAGTCTACATCTCCAATCTCCATGAAGCTTAATGCTTCTGGGTAAGTCTCTGTGGTGTTTCTTTTCACCAACTCTCTTATTCTCTCTTAATCTCTTTCAACTAGGGGATCTCAGACTCTTATCTTTCCTCTTGTTTCATGTAGGTGATCTTGAATTATCTAAAAGTTAAGTTTTTTCTTTGTTTCAATGGATACTCTTTTGAGAACACCCAACAAGCTTGAATTTTTCATCCCTCAGTTTCATGGAATTGAGAGATTAAATGGACCAAACCCTTCAAAGGTTAAGCTTGGTGTGAAGAAAAGGGGAATCAAAGTTAGTAGTAGTAGTACTAGTAGTGCTCTTTTGGATCTTGTTCCTGAAACCAAGAAGGAGAATCTTGACTTTGAGCTTCCTTTATACGATACTTCCCTGAACAAAGTTGTTGATTTAGCTATTGTCGGTGGTGGCCCTGCTGGTTTAGCCGTGGCTCAGCAGGTCTCCGAGGCAGGACTCTCTGTTTGCTCCATTGATCCTTCTCCCAAACTCATTTGGCCTAACAACTATGGAGTTTGGGTTGATGAGTTTGAAGCCATGGACTTACTAGATTGCCTTGACACCACTTGGTCCGGTGCTGTTGTCTATATCAATGAAGGCGCCACGAAGGATCTAAGCCGGCCTTATGGGAGGGTTAACCGTAAACAGCTCAAATCCAAGATGCTTCAGAAGTGTATTACCAATGGTGTTAAGTTTCATCAAGCTAAGGTTACTAACGTGGTTCATGAGGAGGTGAACTCCACTGTGGTTTGCAGTGATGGTGTGAAGATACAAGCTTCTGTTGTTCTTGATGCTACTGGCTTTTCTAGATGCTTGGTGAAGTATGACAAACCTTATAACCCTGGGTATCAAGTAGCTTATGGGATCATTGCTGAAGTTGATGGTCACCCGTTTGATGTGGATAAGATGGTGTTCATGGATTGGAGAGATAAGCATCTTGACTCGTATCCTGAGCTTAAAGAACGGAACAGCAAGATCCCTACGTTCTTGTACGCAATGCCGTTTTCTTCAAACAGAATCTTTCTTGAAGAGACGTCTCTTGTTGCTAGGCCAGGTCTGAGGATGGAAGATATCCAAGAGAGAATGGTTGCTAGGCTGAAACATTTGGGGATCAACGTGAAGCGTATTGAGGAAGATGAGCGTTGTGTGATCCCTATGGGCGGTCCTTTACCAGTTTTGCCTCAACGTGTTGTTGGCATTGGTGGTACAGCGGGAATGGTTCATCCTTCTACTGGTTACATGGTAGCTAGGACTCTTGCAGCTGCTCCTATAGTTGCACAGGCTATAGTGAGGTATCTTGGGGATAGGAAAGGTGATGAGTTGTCAGCTGAGGTGTGGAGAGACTTGTGGCCTATTGAGAGGAGGAGACAGAGGGAGTTTTTTTGTTTTGGGATGGATATTTTGCTGAAGCTTGATTTGGATGCTACTAGGAGGTTCTTTGATGCGTTCTTTGATTTGGAACCGCGTTACTGGCATGGTTTCTTGTCGTCGAGGTTATTTCTTCCGGAGTTATTGGTCTTTGGGTTGTCGCTTTTCTCGCATGCTTCAAATACCTCAAGGTTTGAGATCATGACAAAGGGAACTGTTCCTCTTGCTAAGATGATCAACAATTTGGTGAAAGATAGAGACTAAGGAGGACCAGCAGAAACTGGATATCTGCAACTGCATGCTCTTGGATAATTGTGTATATCATAACCTGAATTCTTGTGAGATATAAGAATAGTAGTTATTATTCTTCATCAAAGTTTAAGTACTAATAAGTGTTATTGCATTGAGTATTTTCACAAACTCTTTTAAAATCCGAAACAAGAGGTAAAAAAAGCAAATACAAAGCAAATCTTTCAAACTCCTTTCGCTGGTTTGAAAAGCTTATATTTCATCTTCCTCGAAGGGGTCTCTTTCGGGATAATCACCAACCTGCAGGCCAATACAAAGTTCCTGAGTAGCCGAAAATGTGGCTTACCAATTCAATCTACGCAGCCAACTCGCTACTTTACCGTGATAAGAACCTAGTGCTAAATAATGTAGAATTCGACCAAAACTTAGCTTGAGAGTGAACATATCCTTTGGCCTATATAAGGCACTAAGTAATTAGTCTTATAGCTAACCATTGTGGGACTCTAGACTCTTACTACTAATAAATTGAATCCAAAACCTGCATTGACATATCTTTCTAACAAATAGCAATATCATAGAAACCGGATCATGTCTAAGAACAAACTAAACCCAGTTCGATTCTATCAAGTGTAATAGGTCATTTCACTCTGATGCTAAGACCTTGTAGAGAAAGACATTACCTTTACTTTGTCTGGCCGGACCACACCACCATGAAGCTGAGGGCATTCAAATAGTCTTGTTCCTTTCACCCTGGATATATAAACCAATATGAAGCATGACAACCGAGCTTAGGAATATTCTATGTTTGCTAAAAAAAATCATGATGTTGAGCACACGCTTATGCAAGACTAAGAACCTCAAAGAGGGTTTACTAACACAAAAACATGAGCTGCAAGTGGAGTCAAAGTCCAGAACAAGAAAATACTTATACTTCAAATTGTAAATGAAATTTAACCTTGATGACTATAGTATAGAAAGAATTCACATACATGCCATCGTGTTTGCCAAGGGGTTCATCATACTGGATTCCAACCCAATAGCCAGGACCCAACGACTCTGCTCGTCCAACATATTTGACCTCTCCTCTTTTCTCCCCGGGCTCAACTTGACATCTATCTCCCACCTTAATATTTTGACAGTAAAGAGAAAAATAGACTAGACTTAGAACTACCACTGCCTCTTTAGTTTTTAAGTAAGGAAGGGAGATGTCTTTAAATACAAAAAAAGAATCTGAGTCACCTTGATATTTGCACATAGATCTTCCATGAAGTCCTCCTTCGTCTGTTGAAAGTAGAATCATAAGAACCTTTGTATGTTCTCAAAATTTCTTAATCTAAACCCCCCAAATAGTTTAAGCTTCTTTTCATACCTTAACCTCAGAAGCAGCAACCGGATTCTGAGACGCTCTTTTCTCTTTAAATTTCCTATAACTGTCTGTAACATAAAGTGAACACAATAACATACCATCATCAAAGCTCCAGCATAATTCACTTAACAAAACAAACTTGTCTCTATGCAGTAGTGTAAATAATCACCAGTTCGTTTAGCATAGTCCTCTTCTGAGATAGTATACTTCTCAACCAAAGACGTATCTTCAAGCCAACCTCCAGTTGTGACCGAGGAAGGGTCAAGATCAATAATGTGTAACCGAAACCTTTTAACATAAAATAAAAAAACAATCAGATAAACTAATAAAACAATAAACCATCACATTTGAAGTTTAAGTTACCCATCAAATGGAGAGTAGAAACCGAGAGGTCTTGAATCATCACTAAGCACTCCAACTTTGGAGCCACTTTCATCATAAAGCTCTAAAGCCATAGCATTTACAGATGTCCCACATTTTTTCCATAACTTTTCTTTCACAGCTTCCACATTCATCTTTCAGACAACAAAAAATACCAAATAAAAATCTTGACTTTATCATAGATAAAACAAGCAGTTATAGTGTTTGTGTCTGAAAAAAAAAAAAGACTCACTTGCGGTGAGAAACGAACATCGGCAGCGAAGCTCTTGAGGTTGGAGTGAGTTACGTGGAGAAGTACAGAGTCATCTCCTTCCATCTGTAACCGCGAAGTCGCCATCTTTTTTTTTCCTCCTGAGATGGATGTGCGGAGAAGCGGAGAAGCGGAAGCTCAACGGTGTCGTTTTAACCTCCGTCGTGTAATAAAGAGGTTTTAGATCTTAAAGGGCAGTTTCGGCTTTTCACTCGTCCATTAGATTCATTATGCCACGTGTACAGCCTTTTGATATTGCCATAACACTCATTTAGATTATGACACGTGTACAGTCCATGTAAAATAATATACACTCTCCCGCACGTTAGTATAACCCTTTGATCCGTAACCAAAAGCTAGAAAAAATCCGTGAGACGGAGTCACGGAGGAGAGAGTCCCGGCGATGGCGGAAGATTTCTCGGTGGTAGTCTTAGCTTCCGATCTAGGCGTTGACGCTAGACCGTTCTTAACGAGAAGCGATGAGATCGATGAGCAAGAGAACTGGCACGATTGTCCTCAATACCTAGGTGACGAAGACTTCTCCGATCTCGACCTCCTCCACTTCTTCACCCTCCAGGGCTCCGATAAGTCCGGTAACCGGATCTTCCGCGTCGTCGGAAAGTATTTGCCTGGTAAATGTTGCTAACGTTGATTTTGTAGACTGGTTTAGTTAATTAGAGTAGATGACCGTGTTTAGTATTGGTTTAGTGTGGTTTAAGTTAAGCGGGAACAGTCACAATATTATAAGTGAAACTCTGTATACTCTGTTATTGAATTAATCAATGAGAAAAAGTTAGTTACAAGTTTGTTAGATCATCTTCTAACAATCTTGCTCAAAGTTTGTTTTAGTCTTCTGATAGATCTATTAATCAGCTTTAGAGTAGATAACCGTGTTTAGTATTTGGTTTAGTGTGGTTTAGTTAACCGGGAACAATCACAGTGTTTTAAGTGAAACTCGCTATGCTCTGTGATTGAATTAATCAATGAAAAAAAGTTACTTACTAGTTTGTTAGATCATCTTCTAACAAACTTTAGCAAGTTTGTTTAGTCTTCTGTAAGATCTGTTAATTAGCTTTAGAGTAAATAACCATGCTCAGTATTGGTTTAGTTTCGTTGAATACTAATGAAATACGTTGAGTAAACCGGGAACAATCACAATTCTAACAAACTTGCTGAAGTTTGTTTTAGTCAATGAGAAAAAGTTAGTTACAAGTTTGTTAGATCATCTTCTAACAAACTTGCTGAAGTTTGTTTTAGTCTTCTGATAGATCTGTTAATCAGCTTTAGAGTAGATAACCGTGTTTAGTATTGGTTTTAGTTTGGTTAAATACTAATCAAATACGTTGAGTAAACTGGGAACAATCACAATTCTATGAGAAAAAGTTAGTTACAAGTTTGTTAGATCATCTTCTTCACTTTAGCTCGACCCTCACTAACATTCTGTTTCATTATATAACTCACAGTATTATAAGTGAAACTTTGTACTCTGGTTATTGAATTAATCAATGAGAAAAAAGTTAGTTACAAGTTTGTTAGATCAACTTCTAACAAACTTTGTTTAGTCTTCTGATTGATCTGTTAGTTAGCTTTAGAGTAGATAAGCGTGTTTAGTATTGGTTTAGTTTGGTTAAATACTAATCATATACGTTGAGTAAACCGGGAACAATCACAATTCAATGAGAATAAGTTTGTTCACTAACATTCTGTTTCGTTCTATAACTCAATCTTTTAAGTTCTAAATGATTTTTTTGTGTGTGTGTGTGAAACGCAGCTCGTGTGGTGAGTGCAGAGAGGCTGAAGAAGTATATATTCCAGAAGATTACCAACGAGTGTCCAGAGGGACCTTTCTGCTTGGTTTACATGCATAGCACGGTCCAAAAAGACGAAAACTCACCGGGGATTACAATCTTAAGATGGATCTACGAGGATCTTCCTTCAGATATCAAAGATAGACTCCAAGTTGTTTACTTTGTACACCCTGGTCTTCGTTCAAGACTCGTCATTGCCACTCTTGGTCGCCTTCTCTTAACTGGAGGGTAAAGCTTTTTTAGTATGTGATTCAAACATTATGGGGATTAAGATGTGTGGACTAATTGTTTTTTTTTTATATCAAATATTGTAGGCTGTATTGGAAGATTAAGTATGTGAGTAGGTTGCAGTATCTTTGGGAGGAGATAAAGAAAGGGGAAGTGGAAGTTCCTGACTTTGTGAAGAACCATGATAATGTGCTTGAGCATAGACCGTTGACGGATTATGGAATCGAACCGGATCCCTTTCACTTAACCGAGGTTCAGTCTTCTTCCTTCTCGCTTAACCATTACGAGAACAGATGGGTCTCATAGTATGTTTTCTCTATTTGTGAAGCCAGAACCTCTATGTTTTATGTTTCTTGTACAGAGTATAATTCAGTGTCTTATAAGACTCTTCAGTGTCGATCTTGTTTTGATTGAGTTTGGACAGAACCAGTTAAGTTCAGAGACAGACTATTGTATGAATTATGAAGATAGAAAGTACATGTACACAGAAACATTCTAGAATCAATATACAAACAAAAGCTGTTTGGTAAGTTTCACTTCACCTTCTTTGTTATACACCCAAGAGAGTTAAAAAAAACCTGTTTGGAACTATAAAGCTGGTTCTGTTCAGATGATAGCCCAGAATCTCTTTCTGCAAAACAGGACAGTCTCTGTCTTCTTGGATTTGTCTTCCAGTTGATGAGTTTCCACTTCCCAAATGTATTTAGGAGCCAAGTCTCGGATCCTTGAGATTATAGGTTCCTCGTCCCTTATAATGATGAATCCCTGTCAACCCCAAAACCAACGCTTCACTCAGGTCATGTACATTACAAAGAGAGACCAGAAAGGTTTTGATTCAAAAGTCGTGGCATCATCAGTACTGAAAAGTACCTGAGGGCGAACAATCCGGTCCATCTCAAGCATGATATCCTCTAGCAGACAACCATCTCCACGGCTTTGGTAGTGAGAGATGACATGGTTGGCATGTATCAGATCATACGTGCGCGGATATGTTGAGAACGGCTCACACCTAAGACAATTTTATTAGTTATCTAAATGGTGTGTTGATGCCTGGGGAAGACTGGAAACAAAACAAAAAGGATGGTTTCTAAGCATGCTTACCAATCATGGAAAGCACCAGTTAATCCCCTCACGAAAACACCAGACAAAGTTTCATTCATGGTAGCAGGCACTATGTTCATTACCCAAACCGGGTACAAGCTCATAGCCGAAGCAAATCCACCAATGAATGCATTCATGTCCATCACATTCCGCACTTCACTCTCATTGACATTCATAAACCGCCAGTACTGTTTCACTTGTTCTCTCCAGAAAACTGTGTCTGATGTATATTCATCTTCACTAATGCCTGATGAAAATTTTGCTTTAATAAGTGGTTTAGGAATCTCAAACATAATGAATTGAGCAGAAGAAACATACCTATATTTCTTAGAGTTTTAGGATAGGTAGAAAGACGTTCAGCTAAGGAAGAGGGTCTCTTCTCTGCATATCCACTAATTTGCACACAATCTCTAAGAGGAACTTGCCAGGATGGTTTCAAAACATCTTCCACATCACATAAACTTATAAGCTCTAGCTCTGCATTCTTCTTAAGACACTCCACGTTCTCTTCTTTAATCCATATAGCAGTTTGCACCTTCCTGGAAACCATCTTCCAGCACATTGAGTTAGTTAGACTAACCAACTTATCCCAAATCATAGGATACTCTTTATCTTTTCTATAAGCTGGTGGCGACGTATACACAAAGTAGCCATTGGGTCTAAGAAGCCTATGAACTTCTTTAAGTAAGATCCCATCTGCAGAATCAAGTAGCCACATTATCATTACTATGACCAAACAAACCCAAGACAAAATCTATCACTCCAAACATACCGTTTGCATGCCAATCAACACGACATCTAGAACAATGAACCATCTCAAAAGAGCCTGAAGGATATGGCATTTGTTTGGTGGCAACAGCAGAGATCATTGCACCAACGCCTCTCTCCAATGCAAACTGAATCTGGTTTTCATGAGCATCATTAGGAGCAAAAGACATTGTCTGTATACCTAAAGGAAGTAGATAAGCCCCAAAGCTTGCAACTCCACATCCAACATCAAGTACTTGTACAACTCCAGCTGAACCCAAGTCACCTGTTTCATTAGTTACCATACCTCCCAACCTAATTACACACAAAAAAAAATCCAGCCAAAATTATTGTTTTTTTTTTCTTTCTAATTAAGGTTCTTAATGAAATGTTTATAACCCCTAAAATTTCAGATCCGGCCCTGTGAAGAAGCATAAATGTGAAAAACCTTTGTATGTATTCTGAAGCACCATGTTTGAAGTGAGTACCACCACCAGGGAACCACCAAAACTCTCCATGTTCTTGCACCCAGCTTTGTCCACCATTAACTTGAGCAAGATGTGTATGATTCACATTACTTCTCCACACATAGTCTCTACTAGTTGGCCATCTTAAAGGTATCTTATAATCTTTAGGTGGAGGCACCAAGCAGAAGAGACGCTGCTCGAGCGACGGGCAGTGTCTCTCTAGCTCTTCTCTTCTAGAGACGTTTAAGCTCAGCTGGTGGATGTAAGTGACGTTGTGACAAGGAAGATACTCGTTGAACTGTGATGGACACACGTTGATTCCAGTTTCGGGGATGACTAGTGGTGATGTTCGGTGAGTAAGTTCGATCTTGTTTGAGAATTTGAAGAGAGCTGCAAAATCAAGATTGTAGTGTTTTTTAGTTCTTGAAAACTAAAACAAGATTAGCAGATTCCACAAGGATCCAACCGCATGCAGAGAGAGTTTTGAAGAGAGACAGAGAAGACGGACCAGATTGAGAGAGGTGGATGGGTTCGATGTTGCCGAAGAGAGAGCCAGCGTAGAATGATCCAACCGTTAGAAAGAGAGCAACAAGTATCGTCTTCCCTGATCTCGTTGCACCGAACACATTATAACCTCTCATTGTTCTATCTCTCTTTCTTTCTTTCTACTTCGGGTTTCTACTGATTTTGTTTCTTTCGTCTTCCTCGAGATTCGTTTATACGTTACTTTCGGAGTCAACAATCTATGAAGTAATAGCAGAGCTTAAGACTCTGAGAGTTGTCATGTTCTCCCTTTGTAAACCGTAAACGTGTCACTTACGTTCTCGCTTAGTAAATTGTAAACGTGTCAAATTCAAGATTTTTTTTTTGTTTCTTTGCTCTGTTTTGCTTTCATCATAACGTTATGGGACTAGCCTGATTGATAAATATGCACCACATTCACATGTTATAGGCACAAACTTTCAGTTCATTTAATTGATTTTTTTTGTATTTAGGATGTTTTGGAAGTAATTGTTCTAATCAATTCACTAATTCGGATAATCACAGACTGAATATAGAATATTTTTGTTGACCAAGTCAGTAAGAAATATAGTACATTTAATTTATTTTTTTTACCAATTTTTATATTGGAAATGTATATCATTGTTATTAACGAGACGAATCCACTAATCACGTTTTATAACTAGATGCTACACACCTATATAATGTCCGTAATCATCTCCAATCAAACATAAATATAGTACGATGTTAATGGGAATTAGATAGAGAACATTCAACATTTTCGCCATCCTCTTCCAGTCTTACTCATCTCGTCATGTAATCATACTATGTTTGTCTTATATCCTTTAATATGTCCGATAATTTTGGTGTGTATATGATATGATTAACAGGCATGGTAACAAAGACTGTTGGATATATATGTCAAACAGACAAAGATTGTGTGGAGAATGGAATCTCAAGATGCAAGGTCACAAGGAAAATGCCAACTTGTTTCAACTGATATTGTAGTTGTTTTGCTAAAAGGCTTTCATGATCTTTTGTTTAAGCAAAAAAAAAATACTTTTCATCTTCATCATATATTTTTGTAAAAAAATATTAAAAAGTGCAGGGCCCAAATCTATAGTCTTTCATGTCCAAAACTACAACATATAATATTAGTTTAATTCTACCAGTCACTTGAACTAAGAATTTATGACACAATAGCCTTATAGCCATCGTACGTTGAGCTAATGCCCTTTGGTTCTTTCTTCTTCTTCTTCGTATATTCATGCAATGCAATACTATCATGTTTATCTTTATTTTACTAACGAAGAAACAAAATTGATGACTCTCTCCATGCATGTTGCATGATCTAGAATGTCTTTTTTTATAATAACAAAGATTAGATTTTACTGTGTTGCACCAGACATGATCCAACCTCAACACGATGTTTTTTCAAAATGTCGACATACTAAGAAAAGTAGCAGCAGCGACACGTTCTTCCTTTTTTTTTTATATCTACAATTAAAGCAATTTAGCAAGAAATTGGCAGCAGAAAAGAACATGCCTTTCGGAATCTGACAGATTAATAAACCACTGTGTTTCCCTTTCCAATTTAGTGGAGTATATAAAAAAGTAATTAACACTTCCGGTGCCTAGTCACATAGTCTGAGGCTCTGAGCTCTCTATTAATGGTATTAAAATTGACTAACTAACTAAAACACTTGTTTCTAAATGCGACAGTATACCTTTTTTCTTTTGAGCAACATGCGACAGTAAACTAAAAAGCTGCAAACTCTGCAAGTGCATCTTAAAAGAAAAATCAAAGAAATGGTTAGATCTATACAATTTTTTTCTTTCTTTTTTTGAGCAAGATCTATACAATTTTAAAGTAGATTCTCTAGTAATTTTATTTCAGATTCTATTATTTTCATTGTTAAGTTACAACCCCACCCTATTTTTCATTTTACAATAGAGGTTTAGAGTAAAAGTAATCAAATGTACTATATATCTCATTTTACAACAGAGTAAAAAACATGTTTATTTCAAATATAGAATAACTTATTATTATTATTTTTTGTTTATTATTCTATTTTTCATTTTAAAATATAAACTCTAATTATGTTATAAAGTGATTCTATTTTAGAATAAAAAATAGTGTAAAATTGAGTGGAAAATTTCAGTCTAATCTCTCACTAAAGTTTATTCGGTTCTTCGAATCTCCAAGCAAACTCAACAAACGATACTCATAACCCTAAACATTAGAGCAAAAAGAGCTTCATTTAACAAAAAAAAAAAAAAAAAACCA